GAGCTTCCCATCGCTTGGAGAACGCACAAGAACCATCCACTTGACCAGGTAATCGGCAGCATCAACCGCGGGGTAAGTACTCGTAACTCTCTTAGGGACACCGTAGGTCACATGGCTTTTGTTTCTCAAATTGAACCTACAACCATTTCCGAAGCAATAAACGATGAACATTGGACCTTGGCTATGCAAGAGGAGCTAAACCAATTCAAACGGAATGACGTTTGGGAATTGGTGCCAAGGCCCGATGATCGTACGATTATTGGTATGAAATGGGTATTCCGTAACAAACTCAATGAAAATGGAATAATCACTAGAAACAAAGCTAGGCTCGTAGCTAAAGGCTACAATCAAGAAGAAGGCATTGATTTTGAAGAAACTTATGCACCCGTAGCACGTTTAGAAGCTATTCGTTTACTTCTTGCTTTTGCCTCAGCTATGGATTTTAAACTTTATCAAATGGATGTTAAGAGTGCCTTCCTCAATGGTTTTATTCAAGAGGAAGTGTATGTTGACCAGCCCCCAGGGTTTGAAGACTTTGAGTTCCCCGACCATGTCTTCAAACTCAAGAAAGCGCTCTACGGTCTTAAACAAGCACCCCGTGCTTGGTACGAACGTTTGAGCAAATTTCTTTTGGATAGTGGTTTCCAAAGGGGAAAGGTTGACACCACACTTTTCATCAAGAGTAGAAACAATAACATCCTTTTGGTTCAAGTTTATGTAGACGATAATATATTCGGTGCTACTAACGAGTCTTTGTGCAAGGAATTCTCAACTTTAATGACAAGTGAATTCGAAATGTCAATGATGGGCGAACTCACATTCTTTTTGGGACTCCAAGTCAAGCAAATGAAAGATGGCACGTTCATTTGCAAAGCCAAATATTGCAAGGAGCTCCTAAAACGGTTTGAAATGGACAACGCCAAAGCCATGGCGACCCCGATGAGCACGTCTGACCATCTTGACAAAGACGAGAAAGGTAAGGAAGTAGAGGTCAAAAAGTATCGAGGTATGATCGGATCCCTTCTTTATCTTACCGCTAGTAGGCCGGATATCATGTTTAGAGTTTGCCTTTGCGCAAGGTATCAATCGTGCCCAAAGGAATCACACTTAACGGCGGTAAAACAGATTATGAAATACCTTTCCGGCACGGTTAACGTTGGACTGTGGTATCCAAAAGGCTCTTCTTTCCATCTCGTTGGCTATTCCGACTCGGACTTGGCCGGTTGCAAATTGGACCGTAAAAGTACGAGTGGGACTTGCCACTTACTTGGTAGCTCTTCAGTTTCATGGTTTAGCAAGAAACAAGTCAGTGTTGCATTATCCACAACCGAAGCGGAATACGTAGCAGCCGGTAGTTGTTGTGCTCAAATCCTTTGGATGAAGCAACAACTCGTGGACTATGGCCTTAGTATCAATCACGTCCCTCTTCGTTGTGATAATACTAGCGTCATAAGCTTGATAAAGAACCCCGTTCTTCACTCAAGGACGAAACACATTGACATTAGGCATCATTTCATTAGAGATCATGTTCTCAAAGGTGATGTCGAAATTGAGTTTGTCGAAACACACAACCAATTAGCCGACGTTTTCACAAAACCTTTAGAGAAAGAGTCGTTCTTCCGCATTCGAAGTGAACTCGGAATCCTTGACTCCACGATGATCTAAGTTGTGCATCTAAATTTATTAAATGTTTACTAACTTGAGCGTCGGAGAACTTTTTCTTTTTTGCAGGTACCCCGTTCATGAAATCAGGGGGAACCATGCAAACAGCGCTGTCTAGGAGACACAACAGCGTTGTTGAGAGAAACACCGTCAACCAGAAAGTTTTCCAACAGCGCTGTACAACAAACCAACAACGCTGTCCCAGGGAGTTCCCTTTCCTTATACTTTCCAGAAACTTTTTCAACATCGCTATCCCTTTTTCAACATAGCTGTTTTCCAAAACACCCTATTTTCACGTAAAACCAGAAACTTTTTCAACAGCGATGTCCTTTGAGCAACAGCGCTGTCCAATTTTTTTCTATCGTAAAACAGCGATGTAGGGAAACCCAACAGCGCTGTTCAAATGGGTTCAAATCCTTACACAATTCCAGAAACTTTTGGAACATCGCTGTAGGGTAATCAACATCGCTGCCTGTTTAACTCCTGTTTTTTTAAACTTGACGCAGAACAGCGTTGTACAAGGCACAACAGCGATGTCGCCTGTACAACATCGCTGTTCTGGTCAAATTTTTCAAAAAAAATTGTCCGTTGCACCTGCATTAATAGCTCCAACAGCTCTTTTTTTCAAATTTCTGGACGTTGGAGACCTCTTCTCCTATATATTTGGACCCCCTCTTCTCACTTTTACACACACAAACACATTTCTCCTCAATATCTTTGCTTATTTCATCATCTCTACTCTCCTCTTTTGTGTTTATTTTCTTCATCATGGGAAAGGACAAGAGCAAGGCCACCACCTCTGGGAAATCAAAGTCCAAATCTCGGGCGCCTACGACATCCTCCGAGGAGTGCCTCTACTATGGCGACGGGTCATACCTCTGGTTTGATTCCGAGGAGGAGCGCACCCGTTTTCTCACTTTCTTCTCTAAACGGGTTGTGGCTCCCCCACGAATCATCCCAGAGCGCTACCCGGAGCTGTAGGGCTATGACGACCTTGACGCACAGCTTCATCAAGCCGGCCTTTGGCCGTTCGTCTCCCGGGCCCGCAAGGAGATCAACCCGGCACTGATCCGGGCCTTCTACTCCAACCTCCGGCGTGAGGACGACGTCATCTATAGCCTCGTCAAGTCCACGCCGATTGAGCTCACTGTTGAGCAGCTTGGGCGCATCGTCGGCCTCCCATTCCAAGGCGACGATGTCTCTCACTATGGCGGAGAGGACTGGGTGCTCAACAACGAGGGCCTAATCCTCAACGAGCTTGGCATCACCGAGCTCATACGCCATGCCTCGGGCAGCCCCACCATCCACTCCGCAAACCCCGAAGGCCGTCTCGTCCTCTACATCGTTTCCTGGATCATCAAACCCCGGAAGCACGGCCACACCATCATGTCCGGTGAGGTCCTCAAACTCATCCATGCGATCATGCACTCGGCCCCAATCAATTGGGCGAAGTTTGTCATGATCAACATGACGATCGCCGCGTCCACCGACCACGATCACCTCCTCCCGTACCCGTTCGTGGTGATGGACATCCTTGAACGGTTCAAGGTAACCACCACCGTTGGCCCGCTCACGAAGGCCACGAAGCTTTGGACCATCTGCAACCAAACCTTCACCAAGCGGTAGGACAACGCCGCGACTGTCACTGCCGCGCCACGCCGCACTGCCTCTGCCGCGCCACGCCGCACTGCCTCTGCCGCTGGCCCAGCCGAACCCCAGGCCCGGGCCAACCTTGCCTCCATCGCCGACTCCCTCAACCGGCTTCATCTCAAAGTTGACGGGATGGATGGCTACCTTGAGCGGCTAGACAAGGCTGTCCAACGCCAAGGATACGCTATGAACGCGTAATTCCAACGCATTAACTCTGTCCCCCCACCGTACCACGGCACGTTCCTTGGGCAAGTGTACGGTGATGAGGACGAAGCCGATGACTCCTACGCCCCGTCAAGCTCCCTGGATGAAGACGAGTTCGACGATGCCATCGATGGGGATGAGATGGACGTCGACGACGAGGAGGAGGAAACCGAAGACGAAGCCTAGGACTCCCCTAGAATTTCTATCTCTCTTCCTTTAATTATCTTGTTTGTTTTAATGCTTCCGTTGTACTCCGCTATTTCCCTTCAATAAATAAAAGTATCTTTTATCTTTTTGTCAATGTCAAAAGGGGGAAGGGGCTATGCATATACTAAGGGCGAACGACTCTATAAACGAGACCGTTTGATTTTAATCCAACTCAATTTTTTAAGCACAAATTAAGGGGGAACTTTTTCACAACCTTTTGAAAAACAAATATCCCTTAGTATGCATATCCCTGTCTTGTTTGCCATTATCAAAAAGGGGGAAATTGTTGGAACACGGGTTTACGCCTACGTCGTACTAAACTGTGTTCGTGTTTATGACAGGTTTTGATAATGCAAAACCTCCGTGACATAACAAGGCTAAAGAGAGCAATACCAAGGCGAAGGAACATGGCATGATGATTTGAGAACGAAGAACCCAGAATCAAGAACGAAGAATTAGAATTGTATTGAGTCGGTCTTAATGTGATCAAGACCGGCACAAACTTTCAAAATCTTGGCTCTCTAGGCTTCTCTCACCAAAATATCTTTTGCATATTAAAAAATGTTTTTCTTAAGTTTTAAACTGCCTAAAACACTTGGAGTTCGCCCAAATCAAAAACCAAGCCATCCAGCGTTCGACTTTCAGAAACCAGCGTTCGGCTTTCGGTTTTCGGCATTGGTTTTTGGCGTCCGAACCAACCAAGTGGTTTTCAACTTTTTATGACTGGTTTTTACTTCTGGGCATATTTAAATAGTTCTCCAACAAAAACACTTCAAAAACCACCTCCCGTTTTTGGTCGTTTAGTGAAAACCATGCGAAACGGCGCAAACTTGGTTAGCCGTGGTTTTCAACTAAATGACGTGGTTTTTAAGATGTTTTACTTGATTTCTTAGAAAAATGCAATAAACAAATGTTTTCAATACTTGGTTTTTATTTTGGAGAACTTACATTTTTGACATCGGCTAACGACGTGACTAAACCAACCATGGGTCTGGCTAAACCAGCCCAACAGCAATGTTGGTGTAACCAACAGCGCTGTCTGGCTTGGGTAGCTAAAAACATGGTTTGGCATTAAGTCTTCCAACAGCGATGTTGGACATTAGACATCGCTGTTGAGCCAAGGTTGGATTTCCAGAAACTTCTGGAACAGCAATGTAGGCTTCCCTACAGCGCTGTCCAACCTAAGCCAAAAATATAGTGCATTGGCAGAAAGTTTTTGGACAGCGATGTTGACCCAGCAATAGCGCTGTCAGGCCAAACTTCCATCTTCAAAGGCAGACCTAAACAGCGATGTTCTAGTATGGAACATCGATGTAGGGATTTTTGGACATCGCCGTTGGAAGGAATTTAAGGCTAAAACTTTCCTTGTTTGGAAGTCAACAACCAAAACAGCGATGTAGGGATTTTTGGACATCGCTGTTGGCATGACCGTTGCTTCCCAATTTTCAAAACCCAAGCCTAGAACAGCGATGTCCAAGCCTAGGACAGCGCTGTCTGGGTGAATTTCAGCAGATCCAAATTTTATCAAATCCCACAAATTGTGCCAATCACCCCTTAAATACTTTGGTCCGTTGGAGCCTTTTTTTTCTACTATAAAATGGGGTGTTTGGGTCTGTTTTACATATCACATTACTTCACAACTCCTATTCTTTCATTGCATATCCTTCATACATTATTCATAGCTTTTTGAGAGCCATTTTTGTGAAGCTTGTGTTGTGTTCAAGAGCGTTCTTAGTTACTCATTATCCACTCTAAAAGAGAGTATTGTTCTTGAGAGTTTTTAGTGTTCTTAGACACTTGACAATAGAAAGTATTTTCTCTTGTTGTTCGAAGGAAGGGTTGTTTCCTTCGAAGGTTCGTTGAGGTTCGTGTGACTCGAATTCTCAAGTTGTACGGGTTTGTTAAGCACCGTTAAGCTTAACGAGATAGTAGTGTAGCTCGAGAGAGTCTCTCGGGAGGCTGGATTAGCCACAAGTTATGGTGAACCAGTGTAAAATCGGTGTGCCTCTTTCTTTTCTCCTTACTTCTCGTTTATTCATTTTTATTCCTGCGATTTCTTGATCAAACGCTATTCACCCCCCTCTAGCGTTGGTCTATTATTCTAACAAAAGTGCTACATCGACAAGCACAAAGTCTTGAAGTGCAAGTTCCTTGAAGTATTCAAGAAGGTGCACATGATTTTTTATTGGAGTCCGAGATGCGTTCGGAGTGCCTAACGGAGGACTCGGAGGAGTAGAAGATTTCCGAAGACTTTTTATTTATTTGAGTCTTAGGAATTTTTGTAAGGATGACAAAAATATCTTCTCTCCAAATATTATTTTTATGAGAGTAAATATAAAAATAATCTAATTTTTTTGAGTCAGTCGAAAAATCATTTTAACTATCAAAATACCTTTATTGAGTCAGTTACCAAAGGTGTGTCAAACATTTATCAAAATATTTATTTTGATATTAGCAAATATATTTGGAAAGCAAAAATATTTTATTCAAATATTTTGTGTTCATCGTTTGACACACAAAATATTTTTGGGACTCATTTTCTACACCAAAAATACACTCTGATAATTCAAATTTAAATTTGAATTATATTTGTTGATTGGGGAGGTCCTAAACAAGTGCTAATATCCAAAATAGCACTTCTCCTCGCACACATGATTGTGTCCTTCATGTTTGGGCATCACCTGCTTCAAAAATCAATTTTTACACTTGGGCAAAAATCGATTATCATTTCGTCCGCTAAAGAATTTTTGCACAGGCTGCATTAATCGATTACTATGGTGCATTAATCGATTTTTATACTGCATTTGTTCAGCAAACTATTTTTTCTAAGCTTCAACGACATATTCCTTCAATCCCTTTATAAACTTCGTTCCTTGGTCATTTTTACAATGAACAAGCACTCCTAAACTCCCCTATCTTGAGGTTATAATCCTCCATTCATTTCTTCATCAAATTGATATATTTTGAGAGAAAACTAAGTGTTTTCAAGAGAGTGTTCTTGTCATCCATAGAGCTTAATCTTTTCTCATTTCTACTCTTGTGAGAGTTATTATTGAGAGGTTGAAGAAGTTTGTTCTTCTTGTTGTATAAGACTTATGTGATTTAAGTCTTGAGTGAGAAGTCTTGTAGAGAGCATATCTACGAGCGATTGTGTCGAGGCTTGTGGGATTCAAGTTCTCGAGTTGTAAACGGTTTGTTAAGCACCCGTAAGCTTAACGGAAGTAGTGGTAGCTTCGAGAGAGTCTCTCGGGGAACTGGACTAGCCACGAGGTGGTTAACCAGTATACATCGGTGTGTTCTTTGCCTTTTCTCTTTTATTTCCGCTGCACTTACGTTTATATTTTTAATCCTGCGTAAATCGGTAATCATTCTCAACAACTCTATTCACCCTCCCTCTAGAGTTGCACGCCTTGTCAAAAAATCATCACCACTAGATGCCAAGGCTATAGTGTTTTTCTCTTCTGCCTTCTGCTCGGAATTCTCATTTTTATCTTTCCCATGGACATATCTCTCTTCTTCTTTCTACAGAATCTCTCAATGTTGTTGGACAATGTGCTATCATGAATATATATTTTTGCAATGTCCTTTGCCCATTGTCTTTTAGATTTTGATAATGACAAAAAGGGTGACAAAACATCATCATCATATTGTGCATCAAGACTAAGAATCAAAGCTACAACAAGTTCATATCCGTCCGTGAAGAAGGGACTTGAGTATCGGTGGAAGGGACGAGACCGAAGAGGTTGTTTCCTTAGTTGGGTAGTGTTTTAGGTCTTAGATTATGTGTTAAAGAGTATGGAATCTCTAAGGTTCATTTCCTAATCATCTTACCTTTAAAACTCATTTTAGATCAGCCTTTGTGTGGGGAAGTTGCCTTTCTATTTGAATAATCTTTAGTTTATTCGAATAAGTCGTGATCTTTCCTGTGACTGAAATTAACCTGTTTTATTCGAATAAATCACCATTTGTTCGAAGAAGTCCTGGCTTTTCACCCTGATTTATTCGAATAAATCACCCTTTATTTGGATAGGAACTGGTTTTTCAAGCCACGTGATTGATCCAAACTATTCGAATAGTTCTTGCGTTATTCGAATAAGTCGACAGTTTCAACTACCAAACGGCTAGTTTTTTGAATTCTTTTCATCTCTATCCACTCCCTAACTTCTATAAACAACCCTCTTCGTGATTATCTTGACAAGAACACTTAGAACACTTTGAAGAACATATCCTTTGAATATCCAAAGAGATTCTACTCAATCCCCTTCTTATATCCAAGCAAGGCAATTGTTTTGATTGCTAAATCATTTCTTTCTTGAGTTTTTCCTCATTACTTGAGTCTTTGAGAGATATTGCCATATTCTAAATGACTTCATTGTATTTGCAACAATCTACTCCGTGTTGGGAGAATTACTCGGTTGCGGTTTGTTTTTTTACTTTATTGTAAGGGATTTGTATTCTTGGTGTTGGAATTACACCAAGTGGTAGAAATCCTAACGGTTTGTGAAATCAAACGTTAGGTGGAAGAAATCCTGAGTTTTGTGAAATCAAAACTTCGGTGGTAAGATAAGAGGCTTGTGAAATCAAGTTCTCGAGTTGTATTTGGATTGTCAAACTCCGTTAAGTTTGACGTGTTAGTGAAGGCCTGGGCACGATTACTTCGGGGAATGGATGTAGGCATTTAGGCCAAACCAGTATATATCGTGTGTGCATTGCTCTTATCCTTCAATTTATTTTGTTTGTGGTGCATTGTTTTTATTGAATATTCGTGAAGAACATTTCCGCGCAAAAAAACCTGGTCTTTTGGGCAACACCTCTATTCACCCCCCCTCTAGAGGTGTGTGAGGCGTCTAACAAATGTGACACGGCTTCTACAATAATGGCAAATGAAATCTCTCTTTCTGGATTTGGATCTCCTCCTAAACTTGTCTCTGTAATGAGGATTTCTGCTCTTGCTTCTCCCCCTCCAAGATTCTGGAATCACATTTGCTTCGGCTTGGCTAGGGTAACCTTATTCTTTCCTCCTAGCCTCTTCATTCAAAAGACTAGCCTTGACCATTTCCATAGTCATCTTGCCATCCGGAGTAGAGTTGCTAAGTGAAACCACGAATGTATCCCAATTGTTGGGCAATGAGGAAACCAACAACAAAGCTTGAAGTTCATCCTCCAATTTCATCTTCATTCTGGCTAGTTGGTTTACCACACCTTGAAACTCATTCATGTGAACCACAGTGCTATCACCATCTTTGTATTGCAATTTAACAAGCTTCCTAATCAAAGAAGCTTTTCCCATAGCATTGTTCCTCTCGTATATGGATTCAAGTTTCTTCCACATCTCAAAAGCATTAGTTTCATTAGCAACATGTTACAACACGCTTAAAGAAACATATTGTCTATTGATGCAATAGCTTTCCGGTTCAAGGTAGTCCAAGCTTTCTCATCAACACCTGTTGGACATTCTTTATACAAAATTGGGTCGAACCAATCTTAAGAGCATAAATAATCCTCAATACGAATTTTCCAAATTGAATAATTCATAGAGTCCAAACTAACCATTCCTTGAACAATTACTTTGTCATCCATCATAAACAGCACAAGAAGCCAACCAAAAATAATCAAACTCCGATACCACTTTGTTGGGGAAGCACGGAACAAAACACAACGGAAGCGTATAAAATCTTTTCCCAAATTAATGAGATGAACAACAAAGCACAATATACTCGAAAAAACAGCAGCACCACCACATAAATAGAAACAGAAATAAAAATAAAGAACACATGATTTACGTGGAAACCGCAAATCGGGGAGAAAACCACGGCCGCTCAACAACAGCACCCAAACTTCCACTAATCACCAAGAACCAAGTGGGTACAACAAGTTCTCCTCTCTAGTAAACACTAGAGGCATACACAATCATCAAGGAGCAACCTTGGAACAACAACAATCAACAATTCACCATAAAATAGAGTAAAAAACTCCCAAAAACCCAAGTCTGAAAACGCAGCAAGAAAACCATCTTCCGGGCATCAAAACGAGAAACGAAGCATTGGATTTGAAGAGGAGTATGTGAGGAACAACATACTAAAATTTGAGCACGATCAGACTTCGTTTGGCCTTCGATCTGGACTGAAAACGAGGCTGCTGCACAGTGTGGCGGAAAATCTTTTTTTTCTTCCTTTTCCCTGCGTTTTGGCTACTACCCATTCTTCTCCTCTTCAAGTTTCTGCCTTATCCTTCCCTTTTTTTCTTCTTTAGTTAGTCACACAACACAAAAGAATGGGTCACCAAAAGACATTTGGGCTAAAACTTTATACACACATAATAAGTCCAAATATAAGAGAGTTTTAAAGTATTGTCCAATTAAAATGGACCATGCTACACTTACACCAAAAAATATACTCCATTTGTACACCACAGATTTGCACAAACATTTCGATGGTTTACACCGACACAAGTGTTGGTGCGTTAATAAAAATTCACACTGACACAAATGTTGGTGCGTTTAACGAAAATTAGTTTTACACCAACACAAAATGTTGGTGCAAAACTGCGGGGTACAAATTGGGGTACAAACCTTGGGGTACACATAGCATAATTCAATTAAAATTGGACACTTCTTCCATGTAGGAGGGAAATTTCCCAACATTAATTGCCACCTGGCGTGAAGGCTTGCAAACACCTCCCCTCCTTTTCCGTGACTTGAGGGGTGAGTAGATCCGCGAGCCCACCGAAGAAATTTTACTCCCTATATTGATGTTTAATGTTTTTTTCTCTTTTTTCAATTTTGTGTTGCTTCTTGGGTTGTAAGATGGGTCTAGGAATTGAATATCGAGGGAATCATTTTGATGTTTCACGTCATTTTTTCAGTTTCTTTTTTTTTTCAGTTTAATTTAATTTTATTTTTTGTTTAGCTCTTTTTTTTCTGTTTAGTTTTGTATTTTGTTCTTTTCTTGAAAATCTTGTTTAGATACATTTTGTAATATTATTTTTAGCTCCAGATGTTTTCCAGACTTTAGTAATATTTTATTTATTACATGTTTAATAAATAATTTATTTCAATTACATACTAAAGATAGATTTTACTTATTTAGAATTAGATAAATATTAAATAAAAATCCCAAATGAAAAAAAATGAAGAGAAAACATAATAAGTAAAAGTGAGGCACTACATCAGCGATGATGTAACACTGAGTGATTGCTGATTTGGAGTGAGCTATGGACTATGGTAGAGTGCTACTAATAGCTTTTTCTTTTCGCCTTAATTTTATGGAAAGTTGAAATCTAAACATTGGTGTCTCCAATCTAGAAGTTTAATATTGAAGGTCAAATACTCCTTTCATTTCCTTTTACTCGATCTATTTTGATTTATAATATTTGCCTAAAGTTGTTCTCAATATAATTTATTTGAAAAGTGTCATAAAATTAAAAAAGACAATTATTCCATTTTAAATAGGAAACATTATCTCAAATAATCTCATCTTATCATGCTTTTTCAAAAAAAAATCACTTTTCAATCACTCTCACTGAAAATAATCTCACATTTTCGTATGTGTGAATTTTGGGTCGCTGTTAAGAAGCTAACGGTCACATAACAAAATGTTTAGGAAATGCATGTCTTCGCAAATGAATGAAATACGAGATAATTTAAGGCAAATTTACTTATTTCTTTTTTTTTATTTTTTTAAAATATATTTTTAAAATATAACATTACACTCTGGTTAGAAATTTTCTACAACAGTACACTCTTGTTAGAAATATAACAGTACACTCTGGAAAAAAATTGTTGTACTCTAAAAAAAACTTAAACATTTTATTATTTATAAAAACATTTCAAAAACATATATTTAAATTTAAAATTAGAAGTTAAAAACGAATAAAAAAGAGAATTTAACCAAAATAGTTTTACATTTCATTTATTTACAAAAAACAAACATTTCATAAAAATTCTGTAAGGTAACCGTTATTAACATTCTAACGGTGATCCAAAACTCACACGCATGAAAAAACCTCTAGAAGAAATGGAAGTGTATGGGGATTAGAAATCTCTAGAGTTGTGGAAATTTATGGAATCCTAAATCTATCCATGGAGGAATAGTATAAATAGGGAGAGTCCCTTTACTTCCAATCATCAAAGTGATGAAAACAATCACTTGTAAAGTGAGAAATCTTTTGGAGAGAGAGTGTAAAGCTTGGAAAGGGGGTCTTTTTCAAAATACCCTAAAAATGGAAGAAATCTATCGTTCTACTCTAAAACGGATCATATTATTAGCCTACCCTTTATATCAAAGTTAAATTATATTACTCTCTTATCCTTCTCCCCCCAAGCTGTTATGACTAGGTTATCGTTATCACACCGTTGCGGCAGCTGAGCATTTCTACACTAGCAAAGAAATTTGTTATTCTCGTTTCGGAGGCATGCCATTTTTAAACAATTTTCTATTCCAATTGATTGCATACTATTTTTCCTGTCATAAGTCGCCGTTATTCAGCATTTGTTTCTCATTGTTCCCTGCCGAACATTTCTGTGCGACTGCGCCGTCTGCGTCTCTCATCGTGCCTCTCATCATTCATCGTCTTCTGTTTGTTCCCTGTCATTCGCCTTCTTTTGTTTGTTGACGCTATTCGCTGAAAAGATCTTTCAACGTAAGTACTCATTCATCTAATTGTTACAGTAAGAATTGTATAATTATTAAACATAGCCGCCATAATTGGAATTGTAGGATTGCATTAAGGGTTGACATAATTAAATTCGATTCAACATACACTATTTGACTATTCGATATAATTAAAGTTGATTGTGTAAGATTGTTGGCAATCTAAAGTCGATATCTGAAGGGTTGATATTATTAAACTTGTAATCTGATTTGCGATAGAGTATAGTCAACAACATCTAATTATGTTGGCGTATTTGGTCACTCTAGATAATACATGGCATCATCATTGAGTCAACATATATTTTGTATGTTTTCGACCACAGATTTTTTTGTGAATTCTATTTTTAAAAGTTTCGATATAAATAAACATAGCAGACGCAGATCGATATGTGTTGACACAATCAGAAGGGTCGATATTATTAAACTCGAAATCTGATTTGCGATATAGTGTAGTCAATGGTATTTGGTTAAGTCGACGTATTTGGTCACTCTATCATTGACTCGACATATATTTGTATGTTTTTGATGATAGATTTTTTTTGTGGATTTTATTTTGACAAGTTTTCTTGTACTTATATCGACATTCTGAATTATGATTTGTCGACATATATAGATTGATACAGTATTAAGATATTTACATATTTAATTCCATTTTTGCAGGTAGATGGCCTCTCTTCTGTCTCTCTTCATTAATTGTGGTGGCGAATGGGTTGGGAATGAAAAAGCGAAATCTGTTTAAAAGAAACAAGCAAAGTAAGACACAAGTGTTCAAGTGGGAAAGATGTAATGAAGACTTCAATGCCCTTCTCATGTGTATTTATTGGGACTTTGGATAGTAACAAAGTAAGCATCGACGTCGGGTTTTGTACCAATGTTCTCGGTTGGATAGGGAATTGCCACATGTCATAATTGCCACCTATCAACTTTGGATTACCGTTCAATCAGTTTTTGGAAGTTTGGCAGTGACGACTTCATGGTCAGCTTCATATTTGGAAATTCTTTGACATTTACCTTCGTCTTGATCTCCGGAACCTATATAAGGGCATATAATGTGAAAAATTTTCATATGGAATAACATCAAAATAACTAGGATTAATGTCGACGAAGGTCGACCTTTTTGTTAGCCGACTCAGCATGTGTTAGTCGACCATCTATTCTAATCATTCATTGACTTTTTTAGTGATTTAATTGGAGATAGAATAAATAGTTTATTATCAAATTTATGACCTAGAGATTTTCTTGAGTGGACTTTGGGGTTCCTCTGTGTTGTGCCGATGTCTTTTCTGCATGATACCTATCACTTTCACTCTTGGAGTACATCACAGAAGCATTCTTCGTCCTCATTATAGAAATCAAACAGTTCTTGAGATCTGGGACTTTGGGTGGAGCGGGTTTGTAACGCCTTGAAATCCGGCTTAGAATTTTTAATTAATTGATATAATTATTTTTATTACTGAGTTGCTCAATACGAAGATTATTTTCTAATTTGTGTATTTAGTTTAAGAGTTGATCTACGTTGTAGGGCTCGCTGTTCTAAACCCGACGCCACAAATGGATTGAGAATAAGACCTATTGGGCGCAAGATATGATTGCCGAATAAGGTGATTGGGCTTTAATCTATTTTAACTGGTTAAAAAGTGTAAACTAGACCCTAAATTCTATTTAATATTATACTATCTCCGTCCCTCATAGATCTTCCCAATAGCCCTTTTTATTTGTCCACAATAAATTTTCTCATTTCATTTTTTCATAATTAAAATACCACAACTACACCCACTTACTTTATTTATTACAGCTCATCCACCTCATTTAAAACATTCCATTCATTTTCATTGAGGGTATTATGATAAACTTTTATTTTTTTCAATTCTCCTTAAAAACCACCAAAGTCAAAATAAGAACATATTAAGAGGAGGAGGGAATATTAAATAAGAAGGGGGGTTATGATACTAGGATCTCTCTCTTTTCCCGTTCGTTTTCCGATGTGTCTCCACTGCTAGAGTTTCGCTCGTCGTTCCGCCAACCAGAGACAGCCGCTGTTGCCGAGCCGCCAGGCACTGGTGGATCCATGCTTTGTGTAGGGGGGCTGCTGCCCCCAGTCAACTCTAAATTTTAAATAAAAATTTTTATTTTTTAAAATGTAGTATAAAGGTTGCCCCCACTAAAATTATACTCCCTCCGTCCGGAAATATTCTTCCCATTTTCCTTTTTGGTCCGTCCGGAAATAATCTTCCCATTTCCTTTTTTAGTATGCCTTTTAAGGCTAAATATCAATAATACCCTTCTATTTTATCACAAATCTACTTTTTTAATAATAAAAGAAGATTTAAAAGTTTATAGTTTGTGCATTTTTAAAAATTTTACATTTTTTTTACTATTCCTTAATAAGCGTGTCAAGTCAACACGGGAAGAAAATTTTCGGATGGAGGGAGTAAAATTTTACTATTGCCCCCACCTCACATTCAGGCCCAAGTCCCACAATTTTAAAAATTGAAAATCATAATAGCCCATTCCAAATTTGACCAATAAGGCCTAGTCCAAAATCAAAATTGGAGTAAATAAACCTTCTTCAAATTTGCTCCACTTGCGTAGGTTTCTTTTCATCCTGCGACGGTTCTACCTCTTGGAGTCGGCTTCTGCTTCTACCGTTCTACTTCCTGCGGTTCCGTCTTCAATCTTCATACCTCATCAATCATCATCTTATCAGGTAATTCTTCAATCTTCATACTTCATCAATCTTCTCCCTCCACGCAAGTTTTTTTTAAATTTTTTTAGATTGATTTTTTTGCCCTCTTAGTCAAAAAATTAGGTTATGTGTGATATAAATATGGTTTGAAATTAAATTTAATGGTGAATTAGATTTTAGAACAATAGAAGGAAATGAGGGGAAAAAGCAGATTGCATAAACTTAGGTCTAAAAAAGTAAAATTTTAGGACTTAGGACTATTTTGTTATTTTTTAAGGAGATTATTTTGTGAAATTCCAATTAACAAGACTAAAATAGTGTATTTTTTTATGCAGTTATGGTTTAAAAAGACTAAAAACATTTTATGACTTATGCATATTATATTTTTATATATGAATAATTGTATAAATATATAGGAAAATGGAGAAGTTTTTGAAACGTAAAGACCCACCAACATCAGCTTCTGCTTCATCTAGCAATGCTAATACATTTCAGCATACAACTACCCCTTCAATCCCTAAAGAAATTGACTTGAATGATCTTCCATGGGATCCTTCCGAGGAAAAGCGAATTACAGATTATCATCTGAATTAAAGAGATGAAATAAGAAGAAAATATTTGATTCGAGAACCATGTCAACCGCGTGGTCATGATTTTCCTCAAAGGATGATAGGAAATAGCCCAATATTTATATCAATATTGGTTAGAATATAGTGTGAAAGTGGACAAGGCGTTTTGTTTGTGTTGTTATTTGTTTAGAGATCATTTTAGAAGACAAGGTGGTAGTGATGCTTTTGTGAAAGGTTTGGTAGCTTGAGTGCTGGTTTATCCGACCTTGCTAAATTGATGGTGAGTACAAAGAAAAATTTTACATTTCCTCTGGTTTATCGTTTGTTGAAGCTAGCATTGGTTTTGCCAGTTGCAACAGCCACAGTTGAGAGATGTTTTTCAACAATGAAGCATGTGCAGACTGATTTGCGCAACCGAATTGGAGACGAGTTTCTTAATGCTTGTGTAGTTTGTACGGTGGAAAAAGATATCATTTTTCATATTACGAATGAAGATGTAGTTGATCGCTTTCAAAAAATGAAAACTCGTAGAGAACAATTATAAAATGTAATTTTGTCATCTTAATTACATTTTAAATTTAAATTTATGCTTATTATATTTGTGGTGACCTGGATCCGCCACTGCCGCCAAGAGCCGCCGTCGCCACCAGGACGCCGCTGTCGCCGACCCGTCGTCCGCATCCATGTCCCCGTCGCGCAACAAACCAGTGGTCCACCAGGGGTTTGCAGCGGCGAGTTCCCCCTCCCTCAATTCGGTTTCAATCCCCCAAATTTGAGGTAATTCATTGCCCAAATATCTTCCGTTAGCGTTAATTCGTAGATTAGTATCTTGTTTGTATAATTCGTGCAATTGATTGTGATTTTGTGTGAGTTTGTTGGTGAAGCACGGAACAAAACACAACGGAAGCGTATAAAATCTTTTCCCCAAATTAATGAGATGAATAACAAGCACAACAAACTATGAAAAATCGGCAGCAAACACACAAGTAAATAGCAACGGAAATAAAAATAAAGAACACACGATTTATGTGGAAACCCCAAATCAGGGAGAAAACCACAGCCGCTCAACAACGGCTCTCAAAATTCCACTAATCACCAAGAATCAAGTGGGTACAACAAGTTCTCCTCTCTAGTAAACACTAGAGGCATACACAATCATCAAGGAGCAACCTTGGAACAACAACAATCAACAATTCACCATAAAACGGAGTAAAAACTCCTAAAAACACAGGTCCAAAAACGCAGCCAGAAAATAGCCTTCTGGCATCAAAACGAGAAGCTGACCGTTGGATATGAAGAGTATGTGACGGACAACATACTAAAATTTGAGCACGATCGGACTTCGTTTGGCCTTCGATCCGGAGGTAAAAAGTTGCTGCTGCACAAAGTGACGAAAATTCTGTTTCTCCCTTTTTTCTTGCGTTTTTGCTACTGCTTTTTTTCTCTGCTAGCTACTGCCTTCTCCTCCTCAAGTTGCTGCCTTATCCTTTTTTTTAGTTAGTAGCTACACAACACAAAAGAATGGGCCACCAAAAAACATTTGGGCTAAAGCTTTACACACACAAAATAAGCCCAAATATGAAAGAGATGTAAAGTATTGTCCAATTTAAAATTGACACTTCCTCCATGTACGAGGGATATTTCCCAACAAATCTCCCCCTCACTCCTACATGGAGTGAGCAAACAAACCAGCCTTCTCACGGCAGACCACGAGCTTCTCCTTTGGCAAGGTCTTGGTCAACATATCAGAGCAGTATTGACTTGTATGAATCTTCACAAGTTCAAAAGACTTGTCTTCCACGGCTTCTCGAATCCAATGATACCTTCTCTTAATGTGTTTGGTTTGAGAACGAATAGATGTCATCTTCACAACTGGAGAAAATGTCTCATCAAAATATATGCCCTCTTCTTCTGACTGAAACCCTTCACAACCAATCTTGTCTTGTACCTTGGTTGTGGGCTACTCTCATCACACTTTAGTCTGTATACCCACTTGTTCTTGAGTGCTCTCTGGCCTTTAGACAACTCTACAAGCTCATATGTGTGGTTCTCATGCAAGGACCTCATCTCATCTTGCATGGCATCGTACCACTTCTCGCAGTGCATATGTGACATAGCCTCATCATAAGTCTCCCGCTCTCCTCCATCAGTGACTAACACAAAATCATCCTCCGAAAGTCTCGTGGAAGGTTTTCTGACTCTGGTGGATCTTCTCAACTGAGGTTCTGGTGGCAGCTCTGAATGTGGTTGTGACTCTGGAACACCATCACCACCATCATCATGATTACCATCATCATGATGGTCATCTGCAAGAGACTCAACTATATGATCATGCATATCTCCACCATGATCTTGAGGGACTACAACAAGAGGAAGAGATGGAACTGGATCAACTGTGATGCATGGAGAAGGATTTGCCTGCTTCTTCTCACAATCTTCAATAGTCTAATCTTCAAAGAAAACCACATCTCTACTTCTGATCACTTTCCTATCACGTGGATCCCATAGTCTGTATCCAAACTCATCCTCTGAATACCCCAAAAATATGCACTCTTTCGTCTTCTTATCAAGCTTGGATCTCTCATCTCTAGGAATATGAACAAATGCTCTACAACCAAAGACTCTCAAATGCTTATAGGAGACATCTTTTTTCCTTGACCAAACTCTCTGAGGAACATCACCTTCAAGAGGAACTGAAGGGGAAAGGTTAATCAGGTCAACGACAGTGAACATTGCCTTCGCCCAAAATGACTTTGGCAGCTTAGCATGAGATAGCATACACCTGATTCTCTCCTCAATGGTTCTGTTCATTCTTTCTGTAACTCCATTAAGCTAAGGTGTCTTCGGAACTGTCTTCTCAAGCTTGATGCCCTGACTTTTGCAATAATTCTCAAATGGACCCCTGTACTCACCACCATTATCTGATCTGACACACTTGAGCTTTCTACTACTTTCTCTTTCAACTCTGGCATAAAACTCCTTAAAAGCTTCAAGTACCTGATCTTTATGTTTCAAAACAAAAGCCCACACTTTTCTAGAAAAATCATCAATAAAAGTTACAAAATATTGTGCACCACGGTGTGATTTATCATCCATAGAGCAAACATCAGTATGAACAAGATCTAAAGCATGTTTTCTTCTATGTGGGGGACGAGTATGAAATGCAACTCTGTGTTGTTTTCCAGCCAAACAATCAACACAAGAGTTTAAAGGCATACCTGAAATGTCAAGGAGATAATCTTTCATGGAAAGGATATGCATGCCCTTTTGACTCATGTGGCCAAGCCTCTTATGCCACAAATCACCGGAGGCATCATCTGCTACATTGGCATCTCCACTACATACTTTGGCCTGCATAACATAAAGTGAATTCTGCTTCTTACCTCGAGCCATAATCAAACTGCCCTGGGAGAGTTTCCATCTTCCATCACAAAATTGGTTAGCATAACCTTCATCATCAAGTAGACCAGCTGAAATCAAACTCAATCTGATATCTAGGACGTGCCTCACATCCCTGAGCACCAACCTGCAACCAGTGGAAGTCTCTAAACAAACATCACCCATACCGATGATCTTAGACGAACCACCATTTCCCATCCTCACGTGGCCAAAATCACCACTAGTATAGGATGAGAAGTACTCCCTGTGTGAGGTAATATGATAAGATGCACCAGAATCAATCCCCCCGGTGCAGGTCATCACAGGCTAAATTTAATAATCCAGGATCACTGATAACAAATAATAAATCATCATTAGATGCCAAAGCTGAAGTGTTCTTTTCTTCTCGCTTATGCTCGGAATTCTCATTTTTATCTTTTCTCTCCCTAGACATGTCCCTCTTTTTCTTTCTGCAGAATCTCTCAATGTGACCCGGCTTTTGACAATAATGGCAAAGGAAATCTCTCTCTCTAGATTTGGATCTCCCCCTGGACTTGTCTTTGTAATGAGGATTTCTGCTCTTGCTTCTCCCCCTGCTAGATTCTGGAATCACATTTGCTTCAGCTTGGCTAGGGTAACCTGATTCTTTCCTCCTAGCCTCTTCATTCAAATGACTAGCCTTGACCATCTCCATATTCATCTTGCCATCCAGAGCAGAGTTGCTAAGTGTAACCACCAATGTATCCCAACTGTCGGGCATTAGGAAAGCAACAACAAAGCTTGAAGTTCATCCTCCAATTTCATCTTCATTCCGGCTAGTTGGTTTACCACACCTTGAAACTCATTCATGTGAACTACAATGCTATCACCATATTTGTATTGCAATTTAACAAGCTTCCTAATCAAAGAAGCTTTTCCCATAGCATTGTTCCTCTCGTACATGGATTCAAGTTTCTTCCACATCTCACAAACATTAGTTTCATTAGCACCATGTTGCAACACACTTAAAGAAACATATTGTCTGATTGATGCAATAGCTTTCTGGTTCAAGGTAGTCCAAGCTTTCTCAATACGAATTTCCCAAATTGAATAATTAGTAGAGTCCAAACTAATCATTCCTTGAACAATTACTTTGTCATCCATCATAAACAACACAAGAAGCCAATAAATAAATAATCAAGCTTTGATACCACTTTGTTGGGGAAGCACACACACGAAAGCGTATAAAATCTTTTCCCCAAATTAATGAGATGAATAACAAGCACAATAAACTCTGAAAAATCGGCAGCACACACACGAATAAATAGCAACGGAAATAAAAATAAAGAACACACGATTTACGTGGAAACCCCAAATCAGGGTGAAAACCATGGCCGCTCAACAACGGCTCCCAAACTTCCACTAATCACCAAGACTCAAGTGGGTACAACAAGTGTAGGACCTCAGGCGCTACCAACTCTTCTAAAACCAATTGGTGTTAGAAGAGGCGCATACCCTAGCCTTATAGTGCATTCAACACACAAGCGCCCACGACATTCGACTGTGACTTAGCCCACATAGCCTCCGCCACAGGACAACTGCTGCACACATGGCCAACAATCTCCCCCTCAGCAATTGCTCCCGCTGGGAATCGAACCCGTGACCTTGGCTCTGATACCACTTGTAGGACCTCAGGCGCTACCAACTCTTCTAAAACCAATGAAAAGATAGAAAAAGTTCTTTGAAGAAACAAAAAGCACAAGAATGGCATTGACGTTGCTAAAGATGGCGACATTGGTGCTTTGAAGACGTATTCTAAAGACTTAGGTTTTATTGTTACAAGCTCATTCAATTTCTCTATGTCATGGCTCAAAACAAAATATGATTTTCATGCATCAAATTAGTGTTTTCATAAATGGTTTTTAAGTTTCTAAAACCCATGGTTCTTGCTTAACTAAAACCATAACCATCGGTTATCGGCGTTCAGCTATGGCGTTCGGTTTTCGGCATTGGTTATTGGCATTGATTTTAACCAAATGGTTTTTGGGTTTTTATCTTTGGTTTATGCTTCTGGACACATTTAAAGGTTTTCCAAATGATTAGTTTTCAAAAACCATAACCTTTGTTTTTCGTCGTTGGTTATCGGCATTCGGCGTCGGTTATCGGTGTTGGTTTTTGGTGCCCAAATCAATCAAAATAGTTCTCCAACAAAAACATGTTAAAAACCACCTTTCATTTTTGGTCTTTTGGTAAAAACCATGTGAAACGGCATAAACTTGGCTAGCCGTGGTTTTTACCTTAATGAAGTGGTTTTTAAGTTTTTATACTTGGTTTCTACATAAAATACATTGTATATGAGTTTACAACACTTGGTTTTCATTTTGGAGAACTTTGGTTTTTGACATCGGTTTTCGGCGTTGGCTGCCAAACCATGGTTTACTCATATTCTACTCTTTAAGAGCCTTACATTGCATCATTTCATAGCCTTACATTGCATCATTCCATAAACTTTTTACATAGCTTTTTAGAGCCATTTCTTGAGGAATTGAGTGTGTTCTTGATCTAAATTAGTTTACTCATATTCTACTCTTTAAGAGAGTTTTTGTTCTTGAGTGGTTAAGTGTTGTGAACACTTTAAGGGAGGTTTGTTCCCTTGGTTGTACGATGGAAGGGCATATTCCGTCGGGTTGAAGTCTTGGAGTGCGGTATCTCCGAGCAAGTGTATTGAGGCTCGTGGGACTCGAGTTCTCAGGTTGTAACGGTTTGTTAAGCACCCGTAAGCTTAACGGAAGTAGTGTAGCTCGAGAGAGTCTCTCAGGAGACTGGACTAGCCACACATTGTGGTGAACCAGTATAAATCTTGGTGTGCTCCCTTTACTCCTTTTTATTCCGCTCTTTACTTTATCCTTGCGATTTTTATTCCGCGAAAATTTATAAACATTCTCGTGCCTCACTATTCACCCTCCCTCTAGTGAAGGGCACCTATTCTAACAATTGGTATCAGAGCCCTACTCTCTACAAGCCTTAACCGGTTGAGAGAACGATCTACATTTTTTGTTGAGAATGTCGTATGCAGGATTAAGCGAAGGACACTCCACCACTAGACCTCCACTCTTCGATGGAACAAACTACACTTATTGGAAGGAGCGAATGAGGATTTACATTCGGTCAATCAACNTTTTTTGTTGAGAATGTCGTATGCAGGATTAAGTGAAGGACACTCCACCGTTAGACCTCCACTCTTCGATGGAACAAACTACACCTATTGGAAGGAACGAATGAGGATTTACATTCGGTCAATCAACTTCCAACTGTGGTTAATCATCAAAAATGGTGAGACGATGCCAATGAAAAAGGTTGGTGAAACCACCATCCCAAAGAAGGAGGAAGAATATGATGCTGAAGACATCAAGAAGGTAGAAGCTTTTGAAAAAGCTAAACACGTGATTTTTTGTGCAATTAACCCGGATGACTACCGGAAAATTTCTTCTTGATCCACCGCAAAAGAAATGTGGGATCAGCTTGAAGTGACATACGAAGGTACGCCTCAAGTCCGTGAAGCTAAAATTGATTTTCTAACCCATGAATATGAGTTGTTTAAAATGAAGGAAATTGAAAGCGTTGATTAAATGTTCGACCAATTTTTAAAGATCATCAACGATCTCCATGTCCTTGGTAAAACATACTCGAACAAAGATCTTGTTCGAAAAATCCTTCGGAGCTTAACATCAGAATGGCGTTCAAAAGCCGATGCCATATATGAGTCAATTGGTAACACCAATGTCACCATCGAGGCTCTTCGAGGTAATCTTAAAACTTATGAATCTACTGTTCTTAAACCTTCTCTTTACAAGAGTCCCGGTCTCGCTCTAAAAGCCTCATCCTCAAAAAGGGTAGAGGTAAGTGACTCCGATAGCGATGACAATAATCCTTCTTATAACTTGCTCGAGAAGTTCCAAGAGTTTTTGAAGGAAGAACTTAGGTCCCGAGATTGTAAAAGAAAGGGAGAACCCATTCCAACGTGCTTTGGTTGTGGAGAACTTGGCCACATAAAGCCATATTGCCCATACCGCAAAGAAAAAAAGGAATGAACATACATGGCATGGGATTCGGAAAGTTCTGGTGACGAAACGGCCACCTTATGTCTTATGGCTCATGAACGAAATGGAGAGGTAAGTACTTCTAACTCTTTCTCATTTGAAGAATTACAAGAAGCCTTTCAAGAATTATTTGGTGAATTCAAGAAAACTTCAAAAATTGCCAAAGAGGCTAAGGCAAAAATTCATGCTTTGGAAGAGGAAATTAAATTTTTGGAAAATGATAATTTTGACCTCAAAAATAAAATTGAGGCAATGAATGAAGATTCTTTCTTTGACCAAAGTTCTACTTGTTCCTCTTGTGAGTCTTTAAAAGTAGAGAATGTAGAACTTAAGAGCACCATTGGAAAAATTAGGGTAAAAGAGCCTAAGAAACTTTTTCAAGAAGTTAAGAATGATAGACCACCTAGAAGAACTAATAATCCTAGGGATAACAAAATTCATTTTAGAAAGAATAAAAGTAACAAGATAAGACAACCTAGAATTGACTAGGATTTTTACAAATGGTAGAAATATTTTGAGACAACCTAGAAACGAGTCCAGAAATTCAGTTAATAATTCTAGAAATGATGATTTTAGATCACCTAGAAAGTTTTTGGCTCCACCTAGACATATGCATAATACAAATGTAGTTTGTCATTATTGCTCTAAGATAGGACACATAGCACCTGTTTGTTTTACCAAACATAAGGATTTGTTTTATAGCTATGATTATTATTTTCCTAACCCTCAAGGACCCAAAAGTTTTTGGGTACCTAAAAATTATTATTAGATGCATATGTAGGTGTGTTTGAAGACTACATTTGTGTAGTGGATGCTCCAAGCACAAAATCTAATTATTTGCATCAAGGGGAGTTTGGGGGGAATTGTTTTGCTATAAACATGGCATCAGTTTCAAGGGGAACATACAACAATGATGTTTTGTATCAAACATCAATGCTCAGGGAGTATTTTTTTAAAACTTTACTCAGTGCTTTTTGCTAATGCCAAAAGGGGGAAATGTTTGGGTATATGCAACAAGTGAGGGGGAATCTTGGTTTCAAAGACGTAGGGGGAATTACTATTACTCTCTCTTTGAAAACCCAACTTGGCCTGCATATCCCCTCCTTGGTTTGTCATTATCAAAAAGGGGAAAATTGTTGGAAAACATTTTCACTTTGACATTTTGCTAATGACAATATTTGTTTCCATTTGGGTTTTGATATTGACAAACCAAGGAGGGGATATGCAGGCCAAGTTGGGCTTTCAATGAGAGAGTAATGGTAATTCCCCCTACGCCTTTGAAACCAAGATTCCCCCTCACTTGTTGCATATACCCAAACAACAAGTTCTCCTCTCTAGTAAACACTAGAGGCATACACAATCATCAAGGAGCAACCTTGGAACAACAACAATCAACTATTCACCATAAAATGGAGTAAAAACTCCCAAAAATACGGGTCCAAGAACACAGCTAGAAGACCGCCTTCCGGGCACCATAACGAGAAACTGACTGTGGCATATGAAAAGGAGTATGTGAGGAACAACATACTAAAATTTGAGCACGATCGGACTTTGTTTGGCCTTCGATCTGGAGGTAAAAAGTTGCTGCTGCACAAAGTGACGAAAATTCTGTTTCTCCCCTTTTTTCTTGCGTTTTTGCTACTGCTTTTTTTCTTTGCTAGCTACTGCCTTCTCCTCCTCAAGTTGCTGCCTTATCCTTTTTTTGGTTAGTAGCTACACAACACAAAAAAATGGGCCACCAAAAAACATTTGGGCTAAAACTTTACACACACAAAATAAGCCCAAATATAAAATAGATGTAAAGTATTGTCCAATTTAAAATTAGACACTTCCTCCATGTAGGAGGAATATTTCCCAATAGAGTTAATTGTTGGAATTGTTGATTTGGATGTTGAACTTGGTATGGGTTGTGTTGGGATGGATTCCCAGCCGGTTTCTAGCGAGTCACAGTGGCGGTCCGCCGGCAGTGACGGTAAGCGTGTTGGACAGGTTTGACTTGGACCCAATTGGTCCAATTGGGTCAATTCGTGTCCAATCGGGTCTGTTTTTGTGCAATTGGGTTGGTCTCGGGTTCGATTGGGTTAGTTTGGGTCCAATTGGGTGTTTGGGTTGATTGGGTGGTTCTCGGTTGTTGGGCTGCCCGGACTTGCTGTTTGGGCTATTCACGCCGGCTGTCCGTTGGGGCAGTGGGGCTACCGGGCGGTGGGCAGCCGCTTGGAAGGGTTGGGTTGTTGGTTTTTGGCCGACGGGTTGTTGGGCTGATCCGTAGGTAATCAATATTGTTCCGGCGGGTGCAGCGGGCCTAAGGTTAAGTCTTTAGTCCCGAGTTCACGACACAAGTACAGGTAAGTTATTTTTAGTATTGTTGGGTTAAAACGTGTTGTTTGAGCATGATGGTAATCAGTTAGAAGTGATTCTTCCGATAGGCCGCTGAGTGTGTTGTTCTGTTTATGGAAATGTTTTGGTGATTGTTATCACTTGAGAACTCTTTTGAAAATTGGCCACCTAGTATACCTATGCGGATCTGATCTAAATTGGATAGTTTAATCACCAATAGGATTGTTATTAAGTTCAGGCCTTGTAGAGCATGGTTGCATATCCAGTGGTCAAGGGTTCAAAACGTATGTATGGGACTCACTGTTCTACCTAAGGGATTTCTTGATAGAGACTCCAACCCGCCATTGAGGATTCTCTTTGGGTTTATTCGAGCATCGGCCTCGAGGGATCCGCTCAAGTGTCCGTAACTCTAGTCTGTTTAATTTAGCCTTAGTATTGTAACTGATAATAAATGTTGATTGTTCACTGATGTTGTTGATTATACAAATGTGATACTATCTGTGAAATTGATTCTAGCATTAGATATTTCTCACTGTGTTTATCGCTGAGCGTGTAGTTTGTTCCGTCTTTCTACATGTAGGTAATAACAAGCTGATCCTGGAGAGCACAGGGACTGAGGAGATGTACGGATGCAGGACTCAAACTGTTAACAAATATGGTGGTTGTAATGTAACTCGTTTTCTGAAATTAAAAATGTTTAATTAAAATGACAGTTTTGCTTCCGTGCTGTTTCGAATTAACTCCGATAAATGTTTAAGTTTTAATTGAAATGTTGGATGATTAATTAAATGTTGTTAATTTATTGGAAATATTGTGTGGATACCAATTTAGTAGCAACCCGGTTCGGTATCCTATTTATTCGGGACACGCAGGTTGGGGTGTTACAAGGTTTTGTTCAACTTTAGAACATGTCGAAGAGGTGGGAGAGAGATCGAAAACTCAAAGGTCTCACGATGAAGGAAGAGATATTTTGGGAGGATTTTTGTGTAAACTCTAACGTCGTTTCACTCATTTTTGGTTTTTTTTCAAATTTAAATTTGAAACGGTGTTTATGCTCCATTACATGCTTAGGCATTTCCATCAGTTCACCTTTATAAGGTAGTACACCAAATATGAAACATTTATAGGGCATTTTGATAGAAACCTCGAAAGATCAGGCATTTCCCAACCGTCAGATTTTCTTTTCGCTTTAATTTTACTGAGAGTTGAAATCTAAACATTGGCATCTCCCATTTGAAAGTTTAATATTGAAGGTCGGGTACTCCTTTCGTTTCTTTTCACTCAATCTATTTTGGTTTATAATGTTTGACTGAAGTTATTTTCCATTGAATGTATTTGAAAAGTATCGTGAAATAAAAAGGATTTATTAAAATTTTAAAGCAGCAATATTTCTACAAAACAACATATGAATAGCAAATGACCCAAGTATAAGAAAATGGGGAGAGTTTTTCTTTTATTTTAACTAAAATTTGAAGCATTGAAATATATAGCCTAAATATTAAAATCTGAAAACTAAGTCCAAAATGACTAGAGTTATGGTTAGGGGGTTTGGAGGCAATAAAAGGCATTTCATTAAATAAATTATATAACCATGAGTATTCAGATAAGAATGAAGAAAACTTTACAGAGACATCACTCTAGGCTTGTGCTCTACTTATTTTGGTTTTAAAAAAATCTCCTATGATATGTTGTGTGCTTCTATAATCTACTTTCGATGCATAGTTTTTTTTGTGGACCTTTAATTTTCACATAAAAAACTTTATTATTAAAAAACAGATTCTTATTTAAATAGTAAAAAATATTTATTTTACTCATATGTACATCTATCGTGGATGTTAGGTCTACCATAAAATTTGTCTCGTTATGTTTCCTTAACGTTTATGCAAAAACCAATGGAGACCCTATTGAGTTACATTAAAGTATCACTAGTTTAAAATAACAATTGCGGCTAAACTCCACCATTAGTCCTTCAACTTTATCAATTGTGCACGATTGGTCCTTCAAGTTTTAAAAGTCCATAAATAGTCCTTCAACTTTATGAGTTATGCATGATTGGTCCTTCAAGTTTTAAAAGTGCATAAATAGTCCTTCAAGTACACGTAAGTCCTCCACATGAGGTCCTTTTGACAGTAAATGTTAAAAGCTAAATGGAATACTAGCTCCATATAATATGGAGTAATCGTACCTAGTGGAATTTACTCGTATTATATGAAACTAGTATTTTGTTTAACATTTAATATTTACTGTCAAAAAGACTTCATGTGGAGGGTTGGCGTGTACCTGAAGGACTACTTATGGACTTTTGAAACTTGAAGGACCAATGGTGCAGAACTCATAAAGTTGAAGGACTATTTATGGACTTTTAAAACTTGAAGGACCAATTGTGCACAACTGATAAAGTTGAAGGACCAATGGTGGATTTTAGCCTAACAATTGCAAAGTTGAATGCCTTAATTCCCAATAGACAAACAATAACTCCCAACTTGGTAAGCACATCATTTTATTTTCGTACATTATAAATTAAATTTAAAATGTTAAAATTAATCATTGTCATCAAATAATTTTTTCAAAATATTAAAACTAAACACTAAAAGTATTGCTTTTACCGACACTTAATGACCCTAACTTTGATAACATCCTTACTCCTTAGGCTAGTGGTATAGTTTCTCTCTTCCATTTAAAACTGAAAAAAAATAAGAAGAATAAAAAAGAAGCAATGGGAAAAAAATTAAAAAGATGAAAAAAAACAAAGCAGCAAAGAAGGGAAAACGAGGGGGGAAAAAAGAGCAAAAAAGCAACAGGAGGAACATCATGGCCGTCCCCTCCGTCCCGCATGAGGGGGTAATGTTCCCACCTTCTCGCCGGCATCTTTTTGCACGTCCGGCGGGAAACGTACTCCGCGGCCTTATCAGAACAAAGTCACACCATAACTTACGGGGTGAAACCAACTCTTGGTCCACTCCCATCTTGTTGTGGCTTCCATTATTGGTTTCCAGTGGAGTGTCCCATTCTGAATCTTCTATCCTCTCATGGAGATTGACATGGGCAGCTACCCTCTGGTTTCCTGTCTTCTTATATTTCTTTCCCTTGTACCAGTCAGGATATCCTACCCTCTCAAAGCATTGTTCATAAAGATGTCCCTCACTTTTGCAATATTTGCAAAATTTCCTATCTGTAGGTTTGTTCCTTCTGTCCTCCCTTCTGTCTTTGTGTTGTGATGATCTCCCAAGTGAAATTTCCACACACACAGCACACTATAGAAATCACAGACACTCACACACTTAACACAGCAGGAGATGGTAGCAAATTGGGTTGTAGCGCAACAAGCAAATTTCACAGAATGCTACAACACCTTTTCTAACACCAATTCAGAACAAACGAAAACAAGCAAAGACACAAAAATTTGTTTGCGCAGTTCGGAGCCAACTCTCCTACGTCTGCGAGGCCCACATCCGTGTAATAGCCTTTCCACTAGATCATCATAAGAATTACACAATCAGATTCAACAGATCCTTCTATTGAACGAATTTGTCTACTTACTTGATCACACTCCAAACTCTGCAATAAGGATGTGTTCTTGACCTTGCTCAGCCTCTCACGATGCACAAGCTGAACAAAACTTCAGAGAAGATCCATGGCTAATCTTCTCACTGTAACCTTACATGAACATATATGATATGCTCTTTTTCTTCGATAACTCAACTCTCTGTGTAAGTACTCTCTTTTAGTCGAATGTGTTTAATCTCGTGCCCCGTCTGCCAAGCTGCAATCTCGTATTTATATATCTGGATCAGCATGGGATGAAACCCTAACCTTTTGTCTCTAGAACTCTTGCGCATACTACTTCGTTTAATCCAGGGAGGAGTCATTGATTAAACCAGTTACTTGACAAACCAGGAATCCTTTGTTTAGCTTGAGCAGATGTCTTCCAGCGTAGCGTCCTAGCGTCCTTGTCCAGATAGGATGACCAATAATGCTAACAACACAATCCTACTATCATGAGGACACTTCTACACTAAACTAGTGATTGTGTGTTGTAAAAAATAACGCCAACCCATGTACTAAATATGAAGGACCTAACAATCTCCCCCTTTGGCTATTTTTGACAAACATAATCACTTGACACTCAGCCGGTTCTAAACCTCTTCTCCCCCTTTTGGAAAAAATATGCCAAAGGCAAAAAAACTGTATTATTCAAGAAACTGGAGAAGAGTAAAATTTAGACAACCGGATGCAAGAGTGTGTACATTAAATCTACTTTTAAAAAAATGGTCATCCCACCTGTGCAAAGAACTGAGTAAGACTAGGAAACCATATGCAGTGTGGATGATCAGAACCAAGCTTTATAACATGCAATCTTCACCATAACAGATCCAAATCAAAGAGACCATATAGTAGCAGCAAAACATGAGCAGATGAATCCAGGACAAACCATTTTGGGACAGAACAATCCCATAAAAAAATGAGTAGCCAAAGACAGTAGAGTTTTCAAAAAAAACAATGAAGAGGTTAATCATCAAATTTGTGAAGTTCTGCTTCAAAATCAGACTCCTCATTTGCTGGATTATCATCTGCGGCATCTGAGCTTTCCTCTTCTTCCTCAATGGCTTCATCATCTTCACTTTGCTCCCCCTGTGTTGCAGCATCATCTGATCCATCTTGCTTGGACTTCTCCCCCTGAGATTCAGCAGCTTCATCTGTAGTGATGTCCATAGATGACAGGATAATGGCCCATTTTTTCTTTTTGATTTCAGCTTCTTTGCTCAGCTTCTTGTATTCTTCAATCTTCTCTTGCAGCATCTGAATTTCTCCTTTGATGAAAGCTGTTTTGGAAAAGTCTGACTGAAGAACTGCTGGGGCTGACTTCTGTTTCTCCCTTGCTGCCATGTCATTGTAGTGTCTTCCTTCAAAGTGCCTTAAATCAACCTGGAGAAGAGGAGGAGCAGGTTCTTCTTCATCTGCAACTACAAGCTTCTGAGATTTAAGCATTTGATAAATAAGAAGAGGATAAGGAAGCCCATTAGAATTCTGTTTGGCCCTCTCAGATGCAAAGCTCATGATCTGGTCAAAGATGATTTTCCCAAGATTCACAGGTATCTCATGCTTAATTTTGTAAATGAGTGTGGCTATGCAGAGTGGGACTGTGTTCATATGGGTGGTTGGGAGCCAGTGATATGCAACAACCCTGAACAGTATGGCATAGGAACTTTTAAGGATGGAAGAGGGCACTTTTGACTTGGTGGATTGAGAGATACGCTCACCATTGGTGAGGTCAGTCCAGACTTGTCTTTCATTCACATTGATTTCAGAGGAGGGGGGTTTTAGGTTCAGAAACTGATTGATTTTGGTAGGGGACAGATCAAAGGTTTTTCCTCTCACAAACACTTTGTGGTATGAAGGGTCAGTGTGAATGTTGCAACCCTCACATAAGAACCAGGCAGAGTGATTGATTTAAGCAGATTACACTTTTTCAGCACAGGGATTAAGTTTGTTTTTGCTTCAAAATCCTCAACATCAATACTTCTTTGCGGCAGAATGGTTTTCTTGACAATTTCAGACATGTATGAACTAGCAATTGATGAAACAAACAGATGTTTAGAAAACTTCCCTGGTTTGGGTGACTTTTCTGCTTTTGCATCTTTCCTCTGGTTGGTCTGACTTCTGGTTGTGAGTTTTGCTGAAGGAGATAATGTTTTCTGCTTCTTTGAGCTCTCCTCCTGGTCATCCATTGCTTTCTCCTTACGCTTAAGGTCCTTCTTTGGCACTTCTTTTGTTTGAATTTCTTCAAACCCTTCTGATTCTTGATTCTCCTTCGCCTTTTGACGCAACGACCATCTGGATCCAGTACATTTCGCCATTGGTTTCTTGGATGCTGGGGTTGTGAATTGTACCCCTTCAAATGGCACATCAGAACATGCTATCAAAGGTTCTTCGTCCACAATCTCTGGTATTTCCTTTTCTGACCGCAGATCTTCCTTCTTCTTGCTTTGCATGTCCTCTTTCTGTGGAGTACCTGTGTATTTTAGGAAGAGCGTTTCTGGGATTGTGGCTATAGGGTTTAGGATCACATCATCTTCTGCGACATTTCTGACTTCGTTGTCTACTGATCTTGAATCTGGTTGCTTCATGTTTGATTCTCCCAGATTTGGTTGTGGAGGATTCTCTTTGTCTTCTTCTGCCACCTCTAGTTCAAGATGAACATTGGTTTGTTGTGATCCTTCTGCACCTAGTAGACGCGTCCAGCGATGTTTCACCCAGAGTTTCCTTTTGAGTGTGGGTTTTCCCTTACAGCGTTTGGGAAGAACATGCTTGACTCTCACCATCTTCGCCTTTTTCTGATTTAGTTTGATAGAGAGAAGCACAATTTTGAGACTAGGGCTTGTGAATTGCCTTTTACTCAGAGGATAGTATCGAGGCGTTCCTGTTTATGAGACGTTGATGATGCCGCTTCGAATTTCTCGTCTGCAATTATGACGCGTGTTTGTATGCCTCGCCTCCTTTCTTTTGTACAGGTAAACTCAGCAGATTCAACTAGTATGAGCACATTAGCTGACAATTTGTGCCCAATTTTTTTGTGTATGGTTTATTGGAATGGTGCGCACAGACCCAAATTGGATCTGAGTGTCTCAAATCTTTCTCCATCAAGTGCCTTTGTAAATATATCTGCCAACTGATGTTCAGTAGAAACATATTCAAGTGCGACGATTTTTTCTTCTACTAGCTCACGTATAAAGTGATGTTTGATGTCAATGTGTTTGGTACGTGAGTGTAGTACTGGATTTTTGGATATATTTATGGCGCTTGTGTTGTCGCAATAAATGGGAATAGTATCATGCTGGATTCCATAATCAGTTAGCATTGACTTCATCCACAAAAGTTGTGCACAACAACTCCCGGCAGCTATGTATTCAGCTTCTGCAGTAGATAATGAGACTGAATTCTGCTTTTTACTAAGCCATGCTACTAGGTTGCCTGCTAGATAGAAACATCCACCTGAAGTGTTTTTGCGATCATCAATGTTGCCAGCCCAGTCTGCGTCACTATATGCCATAAGTTGTGCTGGAGCACCTTTAGAGTACCAGAGACTCATATTATGTGTGCCCTTAACATATTTCAGAATTCTTTTTACTGCCTTCATATGTGATTCCTTAGGCTTATCTTGATATCTTGCACATACTCCCACACTGTAGCATATATCAGGTCTGCTTGCAGTAAGATACAACAGACTTCCAATGATCCCTCTATAGTGAGTAGCATCAACGTCCTTTCCATTATCATCCCTGCTTATTTTCTCATGTGTTGGACATGGTGTTCTAGCACTTTTACAGTCACTCATATCAAACTTCTTCAGCATATCCAGAGCATATTTATTTTGAGATATGAAGATTCCATCCTCAGTCTGTTTGATCTGTAGACCGAGAAAGTAAGTCAATTCACCAATCATGCTCATCTCAAATTCTTTTTCCATGACTTCAACGAATTTCTTAACATGAACTTCTGAGGTTGCACCGAACAGTATGTCATCAACATAGATTTAAGCCACCAGTATGTCTTTACCATACCTGATATAGAACATGGTATTGTCTACACCTCCCCTGGTGTATCCTTGTTTGCATAGGTGTGCTGTTAGCCTCTCATACCATGCTCGCGGTGCCTGCTTCAGGCCATAAAGTGCCTTGCGTAGTTTGAATACATGCGTTGGATGTGCTATATCTTCAAATCCTTTGGGTTGGGATACATAAACCTCTTCTTTAAGATATCCATTCAGAAAGGCTGTTTTGACATCCATTTGATATAGTTTCATGTTCCAGACACATGCCATACTGATGAGTATTCGAATTGATTCAAGTCTTGCCACGGGCGCAAAGGTTTCTTCAAAATCAACTCCTTCCACCTGTGTGTATCCCTGAGCCACTAACCTTGCTTTGTTTCTTATCACGTTGCCATCTTCATCAGTTTTGTTTCGAAAAATCCACTTCGTGCCAATAATGTTCACACCCTCAGGTTTTGGCACCAGTTCCCATACTTGATTTCGCTCAAAGTGTGCAAGTTCCTCTTGCATTGCGTTTATCCATGCTTCATCTGTCAGGGCTTCTTTGACATTTCTTGGTTCAACTGATGATGTATAGAAGGCATTGATCATTTCAACATAGTCAATCTTCTTTTTCCGAGTGCGCATACCTTCTTGTGGATCTCCAATCACATTTTCTAGTGGATGATTCTTTTGAATGTGTGTAGGCACTCTGATTTGTTCCGGTTGATTCGCCTGTGGTTCTGCAACTGATTGATCTTCTGTGTCTGATGTTTGTGAGACTTCTTCAGTTTGCCGTTCAGCAGATGGTTCATCATCTCTTGTGTCACTGTCATCTTTCCATAGTGCTTTGTCATCTACTATGACATTGATGGACTCCATGATTGTTCTGGTGCGTTTGTTGAATACTCTGAAGGCTTTGCTGTTTGGTGAGTATCCCAAGAATATAGCCTCATCACTTTTTGCATCAAACTTGCTTCTATGCTCTCGATCCCGAAGAACAAAACATTTTGCTCCAAAAATGTGAAAGTGTCCCACGTTTGGAGTTCGCCCTTTCCACAGTTCATATGGAGTAGCTTGAGTCCCACTTCTTATATACACACGGTTTATTGTGTAGCAGGCTGTGTGTACGGCTTCGGCCCAAAGATTCTCTGGTAGTTGTTGTGTGTGAAGCATTGTTCTTGCCATTTCCTGCACATGCCTGTTCTTTCTCTCAGCTACCCCATTTTGTTGTGGGGTTTTTGGTGCTGAAAACTCATGTGCTATTCCTTGTTCATCACAGTAGTTGCTGAAAGGTTGGCTGTCGAACTCCCCACCATGATCACTTCTCACTCGTATAACCTTTTGTATCTTTGACTGTTTCTCATTTTGGACTTTGTTGCAGAGTGTAGCAAAGGCATATAGTGCGTCATCCTTATGCCTTAAAAAACATACCCATGTATATCTCGTAAAATCATCAACCACCATGAGTACAAATCTCTTGCCTCCAATACTCTCAGTCTTCATAGGTCCAAAAAGATCTATATGCAGCAGCTCCAAGGGACCTTTTGTGGATTGAAACACCTTGACTGGATGGGTTTTGCGTATCTGTTTTCCCTTTTGACAAGGACCACATATTTCTGTCTCTTTATTGATGATTTTTGGTAATCCCCTCACAGCTCCTGAATTTGACAGAGTTACAAGATCTTTGTAGTTCAGATGCCCCAGGCGATAGTGCCATAACCTTGCATCTTTTCCACTTGCTGAGAAACAAAGAATATTTGGAGTTACTTTATAGCAGTTGTCAGCTGTTCTATCACCTTCAAGCACCACTTGTTTACGATGTAGCAAACAATTAGTGAAAATATAAAATTGGTATTATCACTTACCATTTCAAGACTATCATTTTTTATGAATCAAATTTTTAACTAAGTGCATACACAAAAAACAAAATTTTGATAATGATATATTCTCATTTAAGAGTATTCTTATAGAAAAGGATCAAATATGTTTATAATTGATCTTTTATTTATAAAATTGATATTTTAATCTTTAAGAAGTAGAGATGTGATATTGTTTAAGAGACATTTCTGACACGTAAAATATATTATAGAAAGTAAGAACTTAATACTATTGTATGAAGTCCTTCTGTACAATTAATTATGGAAGAGAATATAGATATTCATTTTTATAATAATTATTTTCTAATTATGTATAATTTTCTATTCAATTATTACAAAACTTCTAAAAGTGTGTTTGGTAAGCAAAGAAAATATGAGTTTTGAATTTTGAAATCTCTAGATATCCTTATCCTTTTCTGGTGTTTGGTGAAGCTAAAATAGTTATCAAATTTAATATCTGAAGATATTATAAATCTTTAAAATTGATGGTCTCAGTATCTCCCGAATTTGGGAGATATCAATATGGGGATTTGATATCTCTCTCAAGTATTGATCATTCTTTGTCACTCGCTACCATTATAGGGTATAAAAACATATTTAAACCTATTTTTATTATATTATAAAAGACAAATGATTAAAACAAAATATATCATTGGGACTTATTATATTACACTAACATTATTTATGATTTTATTATCATTGAGTACATCTAATTAAGAAAGAGAGATATTTATTTCTTTTAATTTTTTTTCATTTCATTTATAATAATAGTTTCGATGAATATATAAACTACTCTCTTTATCTTTAAAAAAATTTCATATTTCTTTATGTTATGATTAAGAGAAGTTAGCTTTATTCCATTTATTTAAATAGTGATGTAAAATAACAAATACTTCTTAATCCCTATATTAAAATTATATATATTAAGTGTTTAAACCATACGGAGTATTA